TCAAATGGTTATTGAGTTGTTGTCAAAATATCTCCAATTTTCTGCACATGATCTTGCAGGAATGTTYGTAGGGAAATGTTTTGTGTTATTAAAGTCTTTATAGAGCTGAGTAAGTCCATATGAGGTACTCTGAATTTATCTGTGAAGATGAATATTTTTAATGGCCTGCCAATGCCAGTAGTTTGTTGCCCAGAGTTAATTCTTTCTTAAACCCAAATTTAAAATATTTGTGCCTGTTTATTATTAGCTAATTTGTGTTGATTAAAATGTAGTGCAGAAGTAGTCATTGATTTCAGTTGTATCATTTCAGATAGGTGGTCATTTATGCAAAAGGTCCCAAAATCCCATCTAGAAAAGATCATGGGGAAAAAAGTGTTTAGTCATTTTTTAATACAGGAATTTGGTTACAGAGCTGAATAAAGTAAGACAAGTTTTATTTTCAGAAATCAGAATTTCTGAAAAAAATGCCTTTTTGTTGTCTTAGGTTGGACATGAAAAAATCGACACTGATGTAATTTTAAACATCTGCACCATTCAGCTAAAAGTTCTGAATTAGAAAATGAAAGCTTTTATTGCTTGCAGTCACAAACTGGAAAATGTGYTCAGAGCTATCTTTTCATTTTTAACAGATTATAATTTTCCATGTTAGAGCAAATTTATCTGTCAGACAGCAATACAAAGGGACTTGGTTTAAAATCTTTTTTTTTTTTTCAAATGTGTCTACCTTACCAATCTGTGTATGTACGCAGATGATGGATACAAAGGTATCTGCAGAAATAATTAATTTTCTAATTTAATGTAGACATGTAATTTTGAAATGTGGACTTTGACAGAGAAAAGTTACCCAAACCTGAATAAATGGCATAGATACAGATATATTCAKATATATCACATAGAGAATAGATKACTTCATTTATAGAAYGTGTCAGTGTTAGTGTGAGTTAGAAATTGCTGGCACAAATCATGTCTTTGTAGAGTATCACTGAATATCACTGAATCTGTGAGGTAATTTAGATTATGGCTGGCAAGGAGAGTAAGGTATCCATGTTGGGAAAAAGCAAGGTGGGCTATCATAATCACATCTTTTAGGGGTTTTGTTTAATACTGGCTTGAAAGTAATGTCTCCCTTGTGCCATATGGAAATGTTGTCTGAGTTATAATTGAAATCACCAGCACTTTGTGGACATGGAAAAACAGCTGGATTCAAATAACATCTGTGACATTTTTAGGAAATTTTTTATTCAGCCTGTATTTYATTACTGGACCTGAAACCACTGCAATTGTTCTAATGTATGATCTCRTCTTTTACACACTTAGAGGACCAAAGTGAAGGAAATGCTACCTCGTATAAAATGCTATAGTTCTTCCTTGCAGTAAGAGATTATTTTATATTTAACACCTACATATTGCAAACAACAAAAATCTTCTGGAAAACCAGGTGCTATACACATTTTTATCCTCATAGAGGCAATGAAAGAACAAAAAATATGTAATATAAGAGCAATGCACAGTTTGTAATGTAGCACTGGCTGGCAAGAAGGTACCATGAGCATAACTGTAGTGTAAAATTATGCATGGCACACAGCTGAAAAGTTTCATTTCTATTTTATTTAATTTTATTTTTATTTACAGTTTGTTTCTAACCTTTGTAATTTAAAAATATTTTTTGAGTCCTCAGAAGCTGCTTTTCTGAATCAGATGAAATAATAATCAAAGGTTTTCTGTTCTGTTTTAGGAGACTGTTTACAGTTTGCTTCCACTGTTTCACCAACTCCAGCAGGTGTTGATAAATAGCCTGTTTTRCACATGACAGTAAGATACAGCCACTTTTATTAAGACAAAATGTAAATTCACAGTGTTCTTTATGTACCAA